ATGTCATTTACACACAACACTGTAAACATACACAGACTATTATACATGTGCTTGCACTGATCCTTGGGATTTGGTTGACTTCACTATAACACCACAACTGAAGAAGGAAGGGAAAAGGAGGTTGAAAAGAAGAGGAGGATCTCCTGGATGTTCTGAGGTTGTTGGTTTGGTTGAAAGCTGAAAGAGTTGATCGTTTTCCTTTCCCCCTTACCAGGCCTTCAAGCAGGGTGCGACGACCGGCGGCCAGCTCAATGTCTAGCTTGGCTGTCCCGATGGCTTGAACCAAGATGGGGTTTTCCACACAGAGCGAATTACACCACCACCTCCTCCCACCTGAACACACCTCTCCGCAGGGATGATGGTGTGGCAAAGGAGGGGGGCTCAGTGAGTAACACAGCAGTGTAAAGCTGGGTCGTCTGGGAGCTACAGGATCAAACACACAGAACCAGAAGTGTCACCCAGGGTGGAGGGTATCTGGCTGGAGTAGACCACCCACCACTAGAGGGCAGGGTGGAGGGTATTTGACTGGACTAGACCACCCACCACTAGAGCGCAGGGAGCCAGTGAGGGGTGGTTGGTTAGTCATTCTGAGAATACTACTTGGTTTGGTTCTGTCCCCATGGCTGGTTGGTTTATCAGTCAGTCCTCCCCTGGTCTGAAGAGTCATTCAAGACATCAGTTTAATCTCTCTAAGCTCTGATGGGGGCTTCACAAACCCAGGCCCACGCAAGGTGAAGAAAAACAAATACGGTGAGAGCAAATGGAAATATTAAGAGGAAAACATGGAGGGAGGAGGGGGTTGGAGGTGGAGGCCGGTCAGGGCAGGCGCCGTCTTCTTCACATGTAGACGCGCCTTAGATCTCCTGGCGACGTGATGGTGTTGCATTGTGGGCACAGTTTCTTGTTTCCCTGTGGGACAGAGAGAGAGGAAAATGTCATTGTTTAGGCCACAATATGAGCAGTTGAGGGTTTGAGCAAAGCATAGAGAATGCATCTGTCCTTAAAACACCCTGGTGAAATAGTATGCGGTACTTAGACTGACAGTACAGAGATAGTCCTGTAATAGATCAAAACAACCACATCAAATCAAATTGTATTTGTCACATGCGCCGAATACAACAGTGAAATGTTTACTTACAAGCCCTTAACCAACAAGGCAATTTTAAGAAAGAACACCAAAAAAAAAAAAAAAAAAAAAAAAAAAAAAAAAGTAACAAATAATTAAAGAGCAGCAGTAAAATAACAATAGCGAGGCTATATACAGGGGGTACCAGTACCGAGCCAATGTGCGGGGGCACCGGTTAGTCGAGGTAATATGTTCAGTGGGGAGAACAAGTATTTGATACACTGTCGATTTTGCAGGTTTTCCTACTTACAAAGCATGTAGAGGTCTGTCATTTTTATCATAGGTACACTTCAACTGTGAGAGACGGAATCTAAAACAACAATCCAGAAAATCACATTGTATGATTTTTCATTAATTAATTTGCATTTTATTGCATGACATAAGTATTTGATACATCAGAAAAGCAGAACTTAATAGTTGGTACAGAAACCTTTGTTTGCAATTACAGAGATCATACGTTTCCTGTAGGTCTTGACCAGGTTTGCACACACTGCAGCAGGGATTTTGGCCCACTCCTCCATACAGACCTTCTCCAGATCTTTCAGGTTTCGGGGTTGTCGCTGGGCAATACAGACTTTCAGCTCCCTCCAAAGATTTTCTATTGGGTTCAGGTCTGGAGACTGGCTAGGCCACTCCAGGACCTTGAGATGCTTCTTATGGAGCCACTCCTTAGTTGCCCTGGCTGTGTGTTTCGGGTCGTTGTCATGCTGGAAGACCCAGCCACGACCCATCTTCAATGCTCTTACTGAGGGAAGGAGGTTGTTGGCCAAGATCTCGCGATACATGGCCCCATCCATCCTCCCCTCAATACGGTGCAGTCGTCCTGTCCCCTTTGCAGAAAAGCATCCCCAAAGAATGATGTTTCCACCTCCATGCTTCACGGTTGGGATGGTGTTCTTGGGGTTGTACTCATCCTTCTTCTTCCTCCAAACACGGAGAGTGGAGTTTAGACCAAAAAGCTCTATTTTTGTCTCATCAGACCACATGACCTTCTCCCATTCCTCCTCTGGATCATCCAGATGGTCATTGGCAAACTTCAGACGGGCCTGGACATGCGCTGGCTTGAGCAGGGGGACCTTGCGTGCGCTGCAGGATTTTAATCCATGACGGCGTAGTGTGTTACTAATGGTTTTCTTTGAGACTGTGGTCCCATCTCTCTTCAGGTCATTGACCAGATCCTGCTATGTAGTTCTGGGCTGATCCCTCGCCTTCCTCATGATCATTGATGCCCCACGAGGTGAGATCTTGCATGGAGCCCCAGACCGAGGGTGATTGACAGTCATCTTGAACTTCTTCCATTTTCTAATAATTGCGCCAACAGTTGTTGCCTTCTCACCAAGCTGCTTGCCTATTGTCCTGTAGCCCATCCCAGCCTTGTGCAGGTCTACAATGTTATCCCTGATGTCCTTACACAGCTCTCTGGTCTTGGCCATTGTGGAGAGGTTGGAGTCTGTTTGATTGAGTGTGTGGACAGATGTATTTTATACAGGTAACGAGTTCAAACAGGTGCAGTTAATACAGGAATGAGTGGAGAACAGGAGGGCTCCTTAAAGAAAAATGAACAGGTCTGTGAGAGCCGGAATTCTTACTGGTTGGTAGGTGATCAAATACTTATGTCATGCAATAAAATGCAAATGAATTACTTAAAAATCATACAATGTGATTTTCTGGATTTTTGTTTTAGATTCTGTCTCTCACAGTTGAAGTGTACCTATGATAAAAATTACAGACCTCTACATGCTTTGTAAGTAGGAAAACGTGCAAAATCAGCAGTGTATCAAATACTTGTTCTCCCCACTGTACATGTAGGTAGAGTTATTAAAGTGACTATGCATAGATAATAAACAGAGTAGCAGCAGCGTAAAAGAGGGGGGGCAAAGCAAATAGTCTGGGTAGCCATTTGATTAGATGTTCAGGAGTCTCATGGCTTGGGGGTAGAAGCTGTTTAGAAACCTCTTTGACCTAGACTTGGCACTCCGGTACCGGTTGCCGTGCGGTAGCACAAAGAACAGTCTGAGTAGGGTGGCTAGTCTTTGACAATTTTTAGGGCCTTCCTCTGACACCGCCTGGTATAGAGGTCCTGGATGACAGGAAGCTTGGCCCCAGTGATGTACTGGGCCGTACGCACTACCCTCTGTAGTGCCTTGCGGTCGGAGGCCGAGCAGTTGCCATACCAGGCAGTGATGCAACCAGTCAGGATGCTCTCGATGGTGCAGCTGTATAACCTTTTGAGGATCTGAGGACCCATGCCAAATCTTTTCAGTCTCCTTAGGGGGAATAGGTTTTGTCATGCCCTCTTCACGACTGTCTTGGTGTGCTTGGACCATGTTAGTTTGTTGGTGATGTGGACACAGTACAGAACAGGTATAAAACCACATTCAGCCACAGTGTATAGATCCCTAAGCATGCCTCCGTCAGTGACACAGACGGCCTACAGTGGAGCATCAAAGCCTGCTCATCATCCTGTTCCAGGGTTCCTGCTCTGCTCTCTCCCACTTTGAATCACTGCCATCTCCTATAAAGCTGTGTACAGGGTGTAATTAAAAGGCAGCGGGGGCAGGAGCTGACATCAGGGCAAGGTGAGCTGTGTGGTCTCCTCTCTTTCTGTGCCACACATGAGGTGGTGCTGCCCCGAGTGGAGAGAGGGAGACGGGCATCTGCCACGGCAGGAGGGAGGGCTGCCACGCAACCATACAGTCTGCCAACTGAGCCATCTACATGGGCCCAGATTCACAAAACACTTCTTACGCAAAAACGTAAGAAGTTTCTTAAGAAATATTAACTTGATAAGATAGTTTGTAAGTGCAATTCCTCAACAATATATCTTAAGATTTAATGATTTTCTTACGAACTTCTCAAATATCTTCTTACGAATCTTCTTAAGATGTTTGTTGCTAGGCAACCAATTTAGCTAGCTATCTAGCTAGCAATGGCAATCACGTTAGCATATTTCGTACTGAAATGACTGCTCTAAAACATGTTCTTGGGTTTAAAATAATCAATACTAAAACTCTCAGATTAAGTTTGAGTGAATTAAACATGTTAAATTGCTTTCATGAACTTATTCTCTCACTGCCCAGAGTTTAAGACAAGGGTTTAGCTATCTTGGAATTAAGAACAAATCCAAGAAATGTACTTTCAATAATCAGGAGAAACATAAGAAATAGCGCAAGAACATTTCCAATAACATTTTTGAGGAATAGCAACTTTGCTATTCTCCATAAGTCTATAGTTAAGGAAAAAAATGCAGTTAAGAAGGTATTTCTTAAGGTTTTGTGAATCTGGGCCCTGAACCCTTACCCTGGCATGTATCTGAACTGTGTTCAAATTTGTTTTCTTTCAAATATTTTGAGCATTTGATTGAGCCTGCCAAGTGTCATCTATCTGAACCCCTCCCCCTACAAGTGCTGACACACCACCAGCTCAAACACGAAAGACATGTAGACTACCTGCTTTCACTGGTCTCCTGTCACTGACTCATTAACAGGAAAATGAGGTATGGGGAAGGTTACTGGAGCCACACTGTGAAGAGGTCTAGTCTACTACCTGTGTGTGTGCTCAGAGCGTGAGTCAACTTCCAGCACACTGGGACCTGTGTATGTACAGTCTGAGAGGTACTAGCTGACTGACCTGGGATCTATCTGGAATGAACCAAGGTGATATAACGGTTCTTGTCAGAGTATGCAGAGGGCACAGTGGGAGTTACTGAACTAGGGGCAGAGTTCATACACTGAGTCCTGACACACTGATGTGGTGGGCTGGGTTAGCCCTGTGTGTATGTACGTGTGTGTGTGTACACCTGACTGCACAGGGTTAGGCCCTGGCTTACAGGAAGGGGTAAATAAATCTTTGCCAGACAAGGAGCACACAGCTGTTAGCAAACAGTGGAGTCTCTGTGCTGCCAGAACCAGGAGTCAGGGGGCAGCTGGGGGGCCCGGGCAGCTCTCACGCCACGGTGGATTTGTGGCTCCCAACAGGTCTGCTCATGTCTAGAGCAAAGATGACCAGGCTAAGGAGATGGGCGGAGGGGCCTTGAGTAGAAGTGGTCTCCATAACAGCAGCATGCAGTAACAGAAAAACTCAGGGAGTATTGGACCAAGCCCAAACTGGTTAGCTCTCGTTGTCTTAACAGCCTACAGGTTCATTTTGAAAATAAATGAAGCTTGCACCGAACTAAAATCAGTGTCCAACGACCTTGCAGACGGACAGACAAACGAGCTACCGTACCAGCCTTCTTCTATTGTTGTATACCTCATCCTCTAAGAACCCCCCCAACCCGTACCCCGGCTCCAATGAGAACCAGGTTCCTCCATCGTCCTCTCTTTACACAAAGAAATGACAGCAGGGCCTTTCTTTCTTTTCTTCATATAAAATAAAAGAGTTACCTGATCTTAATGAGCCTGGTGTACGGTGTGGCCAGATGCCGTGCTCTATTAAACTCATAAAAAAGGCCTGGCGGTAACTAGATTACACGCATTTACTTTGATCAAGATGTGGGGAGCCCTGCCGTACAATGCTTTTATTGCTGTCTTTGGGCAACATTTGAATGCCCACATTAGGATCAAGCTGCTGCGGCAGACACACATTTCTTATCCACCCCTCAGCCTTCCCCCTTTCCCTCCCTCCTTCCACCACTGCCTTTGTCTTTCACACACAGGGCTTTGTGATGAAAAAAGGAACACATATATTGGATATTGGAGGAGGATGAGGAGGGCTGAGCTGGGAATTTTCTTTTTATGAATTGCTTCTGTGTGTAGTAGCAAAAAACAGGATGAGGAGGGAGTGCATCGGGGACAACAAATTCTCCCCAAAACATAGGACACAGCAGAAGGTCCTGGAGGTTTCCCTTTTTTATTTATTTATTTTATTTCACCAGGTAAGCCAGTTGAGAACAAGTTCTCATTTACAACTGCGACCTGGCCAAGATAAAGCAAAGCAGTGCGATAAAAACAACAACACAGAGTTACATATGGAATAAACCAAAACGTACAGTCAATAACACAATAGAAAATAGAAAATCTATATACAGTGTGTGCAAATGTAGTAAGTTATGGAGGTAAGGCAATAAATAGGCCATAGTGCTAAATAATTACAATTTAGTATTAACACTGGAGTGATAGACGTGCAAATAGAGATACTGGGGTGCAAATGAGCAAAATAAATAACAATGTAAATAACAATATGGGGATGAGGTAGTTGGGTGGGCTAATTACAGATGGGCTGTGTACAGGTACAGTGATCGGTAAGGTGCTCTGACAACTGATGCTTAAAGTTAATGAGGGAGATAAGTGTCTCCAGCTTCAGAGATTTTTGTAGTTCGTTCCAGTCATTTGCAGCAGAGAACTGGAAGGAATGGCAGCCAAAGGAGGTGTTAGTTTTGGGGATGACCAGTGAGATATACCTGCTGGAGCGCATACTACAGGTGGGTATTGCTATGGTGACCAATGAGCTAAGATAAGGCGGGGATTTGCCTTAGAAGTGATTTATAGATGACCTGGAGCCAGTGGGTTTGGCGACGAATATGTAGTGAGGACCAGCCAACGAGAGCGTACAGGTCACAATGGTGGGTAGTATATGGGGCTTTGGTGACAAAACGGATGGCACTGTGATAGACTACATCCAATTTGCTGAGTTGAGTGTTGGAAGCTATTTTGTAAATGACATCGCCGAAGTCAAGGATCGGTAGGATAGTCAGTTTTACGAGGGCATGTTTAGCAGCATGAGTGAAGGAGGCTTTGTTGCGAAACAGGAAGCCGATTCTAGATTTAACTTTGGATTGGAGATGCTTAATGTGAGTCTGGAAGGAGAGTTTACGGTCTAACCAGACACCTAGGTATTTGTAGTTGTCCACATATTCTAAGTCAGACCCGCCGAGAGTAGTGATTCTAGTCGGGCGGGCGGGTGCAAGCAGCGTTCGATTGAAGAGCATGCATTTAGTTTTACTAGCGTTTAAGAGCAGTTGGAGGCCACGGAAGGAGTGTTGTATGGCATTGAAGCTCGTTTGGAGGTTTGTTAACACAGTGTCCAATGAAGGGCCAGATGTATACAAAATGTTGTCGTCTGCGTAGAGGTGGATCTGAGAGTCACCAGCAGCAAGAGCGACATCATTGATATACACAGAGAATAGAGTCGGCCCGAAAATTGAACCCTGTGGCACCCCCATACAGACTGCCAGAGGTCCAGACAACAGGCCCTCCGATTTGACACATTGAACTCGGCTGTACAGTACTGTCTTTTATCAATCGCGGTTATTATATCGTTTAGGACCTTGAGTGTGGCTGAGGTGCACCCATGACCAGCTTGGAAACCGGATTGCATAGCGGAGAAGGTACGGTGGGATTCGAAGTGGTCGGTGATCTGTTTGTTAACTTGGCTTTCAAATACTTTCGAAAGGCAGGGTAGGATGGATATAGGTCTGTAACAGTTTGGATCTAGAGTGTCACCCCCTTTGAAGAGGGGGATGACCACTGCAGCTTTCCAATCTCTGGGGATCTCAAGACGATACGAAAGAGAGGTTGAACAGGCTAGTAATAGGGGTTGCAACAATTTCGATGGCTAATTTTAGAAAGAAAGGTTCCAGATTGTCTAGCCCAGCTGATTTGTAGGGGTCCATATTTTGATTTTGCAGCTCTTTCAGGACATCGGCTATCTGAATTTGGGTGAAGGCGAAGCGGGGGGGGGGGGGGGGTAGAGGTAGCCAGGTGGAAAGCATGGCCAGCCGTAGCAAAATGCTTATTGAAATTCTCTATTATCGTAGATTTATCGGTGGTGACAGTGTTTCCTAGCCTCAGTGCAGTGGGTAGCTGGGAGGAGGTGCTTTTATTCTCCATGGACTTTACAGTGTCCCAAAACCTTTTGGAGTTAGTGCTACAGGATGCAAATTTCTGTTTGAAAAAGCTAGCCTTTGCTTTCCTAACTGATTGTGTATATTGGTTCCTGACTTCTCTGAAAAGCTGCATATCGCGGGGGCTGATCGATGCTAGTGCAGTACGCCACAGGATGTTTTTGTGCTGGTCAAGGGCAGTCAAGTCTGGGGTGAACCAGGGGCTATATCTGTTCTTAGTTCGGAATTTTTTGAATGGGGCATGCTTAATTAAGATGGAGAGGAAAGCACTTTTGAAGAACATCCAGGCATCCTATACTGACGGAATGAGGTCAATATCCATCCAGGATACCCGGGCCAGGTCAATTAGAAAGGCCTGCTCGCTGAAGTGTTTTAGGGAGAGTTTGACAGTGATGAGGGGTGGTCGCTTGACCGCGGACCCATTACGGACGCAGGCAATGAGGCAGTGATTGCTGAGATCCTGGTTGAAGACAGCGGAGGTGTATTTAGAGGGTAAATTAGTCAGGATGTTATCTATGAGGGTGCCCATGTTTACGGATTTAGGGTTGTACCTGGTAGGTTCCTTGATAATTTGTGTGATATTGAGGGCATCTAGTTTAGATTGTAGGACGGCCGGGGTGTTAAGCATATCCCAGTTCAGGTCACCAAGCAGTACGAACTCTGAGGATAGATGGGGGGCAAGCAATTCACATATGGTGTCCAGGGCACAACTGGGGGCTGAGGGGGGTCTGTAGCAAGCTGCAACAGTGAGTGACTTATTTCTGGAAAGGTGGATTTTTAGAAGTAGAAGCTCAAACTGTTTGGGCACAGACCTGAATAGTATGATAGAGCTCTGCAGGCTCTCTCTACAGTAGATTGCAACTCCGCCCCCTTTGGCAGTTCTATCTAGACGGAAGATGATGTAGTTCGGGATGGACATTTCTGAATTTTTTGTGGCCTTCCTAAGCCAGGATTCAGACTCTGCTAGAACACCAGGGTTGGCAGAGTGTGCTAACGCAGTGAATAACTCAAACTTGGGGAGGAGGCTTCTGATGTTAACATGCAAGAAACCAAGGCTTTTACGGTTACAGAAGTCAACAAATGATAGCGCCTGGGGAGTAGGAGTGATACTGGGGGCTACAGGGCCTGAGTTAACCTCTACATCACCAGAGGAACAGAGGAGGAATAGAATAAGGATACGGCTAAAAGCTTTAAGAACTGGTCTTCTAGTGCGTTGGGTAGAGAGAATAAACCGGGCAGATTTCCGGGCGTTGTAGAATAGATTCAGGGCATTACAGTTGAAGTCGGAAGTTTACATACACCTTAGCCAAATACATTTACACTCAGTTTTTCACAATTCCTGACATTTAATCCTAGTAAAAATTCCCTGTCTTAGGTCAGTTAGGATCACCACTTTATTTTAAGAATGTGAAATGTCAGAATAATAGTAGAGAGAATGATTTATTTCACCTTTTATTTATTTCATCACATTCCCAGTGGGTCAGAAGTTTACATATACTCAATTTGTATTTGGTAGCATTGCCATTAAATTGTTTAACTTGGGTCAAACGTTTCGGGTAGCCTTCCACAAGCTTCCCAAAATAAGTTGGGTGAATTTTGGCCCATTCCTCCTGACAGAGCTGGTGTAACTGAGTCAGGTTTGTAGGCCTCCTTGCTCGCACACGCTTTTTCAGTTCTGCCCACAAATGTTCTATAGGATTGAGGTCAGGGCTTTGTGATGGCCACTCCAAAACCTTGATTTTGTTGTCCGTAAGCCATTTTGCCACAACTTTGGAAGTATGCTTGAGGTCATTGTCCATTTGGAAGACCCATTTGCGACCAAGCTTTAACTTCCTGACTGATGTCTTGAGATGTTGCTTCAATATATCCACATAATTTTCCTTCCTCATGATGCCATCTATTTTGTGAAGTGCACCAGTCCCTCCTGCAGCAAAGCACCTCCACAGCATGATGCTGCCACCCCCGTGCATCACGGTTGGGATGGTTTTCTTCGGCTTGCAAGCAACCCCCTTTTTCCTCCAAACATAACGATGGTCATTATGGCCAAACAGTTCTATTTTTGTTTCATCAGACCAGAGGACATTTCTCCAAAAAGTACGATCTTTGTCCCCATGTGCAGTTGCAAACCGTAGTCTGGCTTTTTTATGGCGGTTTTGGAGCAGTGGCTTCATCCTTGCTGAGCAGCCTTTCAGGTTATGTCGATATAGGACTCGTTTTATTGTGGATATAGATACGTTTGTACCCGTTTCCTCCAGCATCTTCACAAGGTCCTTTGCTGTTGTTCTGGGATTGATTTGCACTTTTCACACCAAAGTACGTTCATCTCTAGGAGACAGAGCTTGTCTCCTTTCTGAGAAGTATGACGGCTGCGTGGTCCCATGGCGTTTATACTTGCGTACTATTGTTTGTACAGATGAACACTATTGTTTTCACTATATATTTTACCTCTTGGGGATGTTATTCGAAAACATAATGTTAACTTTCACTGCTATGCGGATGACACACAGCTGTACATTTCAATGAAACATGGTGAAGCCCCAAAATTGCCCTCGCTAGAAGCCTGTGTTTCAGACATAAGGAAGTGGATGGCTGAAAACTTTTTACTTTTAAACTCGGACAAAACAGAGATGCTTGTTCTAGGTCCCAAGAAACAAAGAGATCTTCTGTTAAATCTGACAATTCATCTTGATGGTTGTAAAGTCGTCTCAAATAAAACTGTGAAGGACCTCGGCGTTACTCTTGACCCTGATCTCTCTTTTGACGAACATATCAAGACTGTTTCAAGGACAGCTTTTTTCCATCTACGTAACATTGCAAAAATCAGAAATTTTCTGTCCAAAAATGATGCAGAAAAATTAATCCATGCATTTGTTACTTCTAGGTTAGACTACTGCAATGCTCTATTTTCCGGCTACCCGGATAAAGCACTAAATAAACTTCAGTTAGTGCTAAATACGGCTGCTAGAATCCTGACTAGAACCAAGAAATTTGATCATATTACTCCAGTGCTAGCTTCCCTACACTGGCTTCCTGTTAAGGCAAGGGCTGATTTCAAGGTTTTACTGTTAACCTATAAAGCGTTACATGGGCTTGCTCCTACCTATCTTTCCGAGTTGGTCCTGCCGTACATACCAATACGTACGCTACGGTCACAAGACGCAGGCCTCCTAATTGTCCCTAGAATTTCTAAGCAAACAGCGGGAGGCAGGGCTTTCTCCTATAGATCTCCATTTTTATGGAACAGTCTGCCTACCCATGTGAGAGACGCAGACTCGGTCTCAACCTTTAAGTCTTTACTGAAGACTTATCTCTTCAGTAGGTCATATGATTGAGTGTAGTCTGGCCCAGGAGTGTGAAGGTGAACGGAAAGGCTGGAGCAACGAACAGCCCTTGCTGTCTCTGCCAGGCCGGTTCCCCTCTCCACTGGGGTTCTCTGCCTCTAACCCTGTTGCAGGGGCTGAGTCACTGGCTTGCTGGTGCTCTTTCATGCCGTCCCTGGGAGGGGTGCGTCACTTGAGTGGGTTGAGTTACTGACGTGATCTTCCTGTCTGGGTTGGCGCCCCCCCCTTGGTTTGTGCTGTGGTGGAGACCTCTGTGGGCTATACTCGGCCTTGTCTCAGGATTGTAAGTTGGTGGTTGGGGATATCCCTCTAGTGGTGCGGGGGCTGTGCTTTGGCGGAGTGGGTGGGGTTATATCCTTCCTGTTTGGCCCTGTCCGGGGGTTTCTTCGGATGGGGCCACAGTGTCTCCGGACCGCTCCTGTCTCAGCCTCCAGTATTTATGCTGCAGTAGTTTATGTGTCGGGGGGCTGGGGTTAGTTGGTTATACCTGGAGTACTTCTCCTGTCTTATCCAGTGTCCTGTGTGAATTTAAGTATGCTCTCTCTAATTCTCTCGTTCTCTCTTTCTCTCTGAGAACCTGAGCCCTAGGACCATACGTCAGGACTACCGGGCATGATGACACCTTGCTGTCCCCAGTCCGCCTGGCCTTGCTGCTATTCCAGTTTCAACTGTTCTGCCTGCGGCTACGAAACCCCTACCTGTCCCAGACCTGCTGTTTTCAACTCTTAATGATCGGCTATGAAAAGCCAACTGAGAGACCTGAGCCCTAGGACCATACGTCGGGACTACCGGCCGTGGTGACTCCTTGCTGTCCCCAGTCCGCCTGGCCTTGCTGCTATTCCAGTTTCAACTGTTCTGCCTGCGGTTATGGAACCCCTACCTGTCCCAGACCTGCTGTTTTCAACTCTTAATGATCGGCTATGAAAAGCCAACTGAGATTTATTCCTGATTATTATTTGACCATGCTTGTCACTTATGAACATTTTTGAACATCTTGGCATGGTTCTGTTATAATCTCCACCCGGCACAGCCAGAAGAGGACTGGCCACCCCTCATAGCCTGGTTCCTCTCTAGGTTTCTTCCTAGGTTTTCGCCTTTCTAGGGAGTTTTTCCTAGCCACCGTGCTTCTACACCTGCATTACTAGCTGTTTGGGGTTTTAGGCTGGGTTTCTGTACAGCACTTCGAGATATTAGCTGATGTAAGAAGGGCTATATAAAATAAAATTGATTGAATTGATTGATGAACGTGGTACCTTCAGGTGCTTGGAAATTGTTCCCAACGATAAACCAGACTTGTGGAGGTCTACAATTTCTTTTCTGAGGTCTTGGCTGATTTCTTTTGATTTTCCCATGTCAATCAAAGAGGCACAGAGTTTGAAGGTAGGCCTTGAAATACATCCACAGGTACACCTCCAATTGACTCAAATATGTCAATTAGCCTATCAGAACCTTCTAAAGCCATGACATCGTTTTCTGGAATTTTCCAAGCTGTTTAAAAGGCACAGTCAACTTAGTGTATGTAAACCTCTGACCCACTGAAATCGTGATACAGTGAATTATAAACAAATTGTCTGTAAACAATTGTTGGAAAAATTACTTGTGTCATGCAAAGTAGATGTCCTATCCGACTTGCCAAAACTATAGTTTGTTAACAAGAAATCTGTGGAGTGGTTGAAAAACAAGTTTTAATGACTCCAACCTTCGACTTCAACTGTATGTACAGGCAAGGATATGGAAGGATATGAGTACAGTGGAGGTACACTGCCTGGTTGGGCCTACTGTACTGTACAATAAGGGGTTAATGAGTTAGGTGGGACTCACTACGGTGTTTGTAAAGAGAAGAGAGGAGAAGAGGTACCTACACCCCTGTGGTCAGATGCAACAAAATTGTCTAAATAATTTACTTCATTAATCACTGACCAAAGACCAAATTAGAAAAACGAATAACAAAACAAACATAGCTCAAGAGTATGTTAAGTTTGTGTGTTTAGACGTAAGGGGTATAATTCAGAGGTTAGAGTAGACCTATTTATTTCAGAGTTGAGAGAGCGAGAAAGAGAGAGAGAGAGAGAGAGAGAGAGAGAGCGAGAGAAAGAGAGAGAGCGAGCGATAGAGAGAGAGAGAAGTGGGAAGTTCAGTCACTATGAAACTGTTCTATAATCAGTGGCTGTAATGTGATGAAGTAGTGTTGCCGTGCAACAGCAGTGTTGTGATGTGTTGTGGAGGCTGGGTGGGTTGCCGTTGGGTTCTCACCAGAGTCCTGAGCCAGCATTCCTCACAGTGGACGTGCCAGCACTGGATGGAGGTGAGGGGCATCGTGTACGAGTCCTGCCACAAGGGAGATGGGAGAGAGAGAACATTAAGCACAAGAGATTAAAGGGGAACTGTTTGGACTGACACAAATGCACGGTCGCAGGCACAACACTGGACAAGTCCTGACGAACGACGGCACCAAAACAAAAGCACCAGGCAGCACTGCTAGAAGCACAGGCATGGATGAGGGGAGTGGCCAGCCCAGCCGGGTGAGCAGGTGGGCGGGTAGAGGGAAGGAGAGTGGGTGAGCACAGAGAGCCTTACCCTCCGGAGCGGGAGCAGCCGTTTAATCCCGCCGCCGCTGCAGCCCATAACGTAGCCTCTATACAAACAGTAAATGCTCAGCGGGGGGAGGGGCTTTGAGCTCTCAGCAAACCGCCTCTCATTGGGCGCTGTTACCGCGAGGGCCCGCCCCAATTGGCCCAGATTCTTGTCTTCAGCCCTGTCTGTTTGGAATATTTTCCTCTGTAGGGAAGTACAGAGGGGGCACTGCTGAGCACAAGAATGTGGCGGACTACAAAGCATAGATAGAAACAGGTACGGACGGACTGGACGGACACCGACACATGCACTCACACAACATCAGGCGGCACTGGAGAGAGAGGTCTATAAGAGTTTCTGTTGCAGCTCTTTTGATGTGATATGTTGAGACTTGTGGCAGGCTCTGATCAAAATAAGCTATAGATAACTTTACAGGCCAGAATATGCTGTTTCTATGAAACGTACTGAAACAGAACAGGGAACACTGAATGTGAAGATGATGTGATGTGAAATCCAATGCATCCATCTAGTGTCCAGTTCCTTAAAGCAACAGTAGATGGTGGTAGAGATCCACTGACAAGGACCCTGCTGAGGTGGTCTGCCTGTACGATGCTTTAACAAGTGTTCAGATAACACAGGTTACAAACTCCTTGAGGAGCTTGTAGAGAAAGATCCTCAACTCTACTGCCTAACAAGCCCACGCCATTTTGTCTTTCAAAATGAGTGATGAGGTGTAAGCAGTCAAATATGACTCCTGACCAACTTAGTTGGTGGGTTAGACTTTCAGGTCATTGTTTAGGCTATTTCCTCACCACTCTTTAAAAAATGACATCTAAATCCCGTCAACAAACAGGTGTGTCAGTCAGAGCAGAGGGCAGAGCGTCTTCACTCCTCAGCCTGGCCGAGTGAGATTTGTGATGGGAGGAGACGACAGTAATGACAAATGAGCTTTACGATGGTCACCGGAGGGCAGGAGTGATCAATATGCATCCATTCTCCTCTCCTCTCTGCCCCCCCTTTAGGAGGGGCAGGCGTCAGTAATTACTTGCTTTTCAGAGTTGTGGGCCCGGGTTGGGGCCGGGGTCAGGGAGCAGGGGCTGCCAAAGCATCTGGCATCTTCACTCTCCACTCATTCTCAGGATGGGAGGATGGCAGGGTGGGTGGGGTCTATGACGATGGGGGAAGTACCACCACAACACACTCTCAGGAACACTTACGAAAGGATTCTGATTGCTCAGGTGTGGGGTGTTCTTAATCCATGTTGTCTGATTTTCTCTCAGACCAGAACAGCCGAGCCAGTCATTAGGGACATGACAGATAATCAACTCTCGAGGAACCGGATACGTTGATGGATGTCAATCACCAAGGTGACATCAATAACTAAAGACATGATTTCACTTATTGACCCCCCCCAAATGAAATGGTCAGAGAAACTCCTCAAAGCTGCCAATACAATGGGCTGCTTGCAGCTGGGGCTTCAAAGTGATGACAGTTGGTGCAACAGAATCTCTCTGACACACACATCAGGGGCAGGGAGGGAGGAGGGCTGACTTTCAGGCCATGCAGGAATCACTTCAACCACCAGACAGTACATGTCAACACAAAGCCTCTGCCTGCATACCACAACGATGTGTCCCTAATGGCACACTATTCCCTATATATGACCAAAACCCACAGGGCCCTGGTCAAAACTGGCACTCTATAAAGGGAATAGGGTGCCATTTGGAACGCACACCAAGAGTTGATATAGTAGTGGATGGGCGGGTTACTTGGGTTCAAACACTCCGTTATGGCAGACATGCATTGAGTCAGAGAGAAAAGCAAATGGATGGACAGAGAAGAAAGGAGTGTAGTGGATCCTTACCATGCAGATGAGACACTTATATCTGTCCCCTCGTAGGATCTGTTTCTCCAGTTCCCGGATACGAGCCTTTAGTGCTTCGAACGTGGTGGCTGTCGAGCCCTCTGTGATCCTGTAAAGAAGAAAAGCTTGGGTTGGGTCACAGTGACACTCAAAGAGAAAGGATCATCACAATTACATCATGAAATCTCTTGTTTTAACTGTTTGGTAGCAGCACTGCAGGGATGCAAAGGCCAAGGTATTTGGTGGCCATTTTATGCGTTATCATTCTTAATCTTCTACCTCAGTCCCAGTATCTGATTGCTTTGAGATGGTTGTTCCACGTCAAGTTTTTCCATTCAGTCCTTGCTTGTCAGGACACCGAGCTGTCTTTATTCTGTGCATGACACCTCCCTATTTAACAGCTGTCTGTCTGTATCCTCCCAGGCCCTATCCCTACACTGACTGACCCATGATTTACGGCTCCCTCCCCTCCTCACCTCTCAGGCCCCACTAAATATCCCCTGATTAATGCCACTGCCTGGAGAATGTACATTTAACACTGTCCTGCAGCATATGAACTAGCAATAACTAAATCAATATGGCCGCCAGTGATTGTCCGGGATGCGGCGCTAGCCAGATGTTTATGGTGATCCGCTCATTTTCCAGCCAGATGGAGCGCTGATCTACAGTATTGATTTACTATTGGACCAGCTCTCAGCGGGAGGCAAGGCACAGCGCTCCCCCACTCCGATTAGCGGCCGGTCGGAGGGCCCATTGCCTCGGCTATCTATGGCTTCATTTATTATACTACCGGCCTTGTGTGGTTGTTCAATGAGGAGGAGTGAGGGCTCTGAGGACCACAGAGACAGTACAGGAGAAGAACTAGACAGGCCACTTACCTAGCTCGATAGCTACATTGAAGAAAGCACTGTTTTTGTGTTATCATATACAGTGGGGAGAACAAGTATTTGATACACTGCCGATTTTGCAGGTTTTCCTACTTACAAAGCATGTAGAGGTCTGTAATTCTTATCAAAAAATAAATCAAAAATCCAGAAAATCACATTGTATGATTTTTAAGTAATTAATTTGCATTTTATTGCATGACATAAGTATTTGATCACCTACCAACCAGTAAGAATTCCGGCTCTCACAGACCTGTTAGTTTTTCTTTAAGAAGCCCTCCTGTTCTCCACTCATTACCTGTATTAACTGCACCTGTTTGAACTCGTTACCTGTATAAAAGACACCTGTCCACACACTCAATCAAACTCCAACCTCTCCACAATGGCCAAGACCAGAGAGCTGTGTAAGGACATCAGGGATAAAATTGTAGACCTGCACAAGGCTGGGATGGGCTACAGGACAATAGGCAAGCAGCTTGGTGAGAAGGCAACAACTGTTGGCGCAATTATTAGAAAATGGAAGAAGTTCAAGATGACGGTCAATCACCCTCGGTCTGGGGCTCCATGCAAGATCTCACCTTGTGGGGCATCAATGATCATGAGGAAGGTGAGGGATCAGCCCAGAACTACACGGCAGGACCTGGTCAATAACCTGAAGAGAGCTGGGACCACAGTCTCAAAGAAAACCATTAGTAACACACTACGCCGTCATGGATTAAAATCCTGCAGCGCACGCAAGGTCCCCCTGCACAAGCCAGCGCATGTCCAGGCCCGTCTGAAGTTTGCCAATGACCATCTGGATGATCCAGAGGAGGAATGGGAGAAGGTCATGTGGTCTGATGAGACAAAAATATAGCTTTTTGGTCTAAACTCCACTCGCCTTGTTTGGAGAAAGAAGAAGGATGAGTACAACCCCAAGAACACCATCCCAACCGTGAAGCATGGAGGTGGAAACATCATTCTTTGGGGATGCTTTTCTGCAAATGGGGACAGGACGACTGCACCGTATTGAGGGGAGGATGGATGGGGCCATGTATAGCGAGATCTTGGCCAACAACAACCTTCCCTCAGTAAGAGCATTGAAGATGGGTCGTGGCTGGGTCTTCCAGCATGACAACGACCCGAAACACACAGCCAGGGCAACTAAGGAGTGGCTGCGTAAGAAGCATCTCAAGGTCCTGGAGTGGCCTAGCCAGTCTCCAGACCTTAACCCAATAAAAAATCTTTGGAGGGAGCTGAAAGTCCGTATTGCCCAGCGACAGCCCAGAAACCTGAAGGATCTGGAGAAGGTCTGTATGGAGGAGTGGGCCAAAATCCCTGCTGCAGTTTGTGCAAACCTGGTCAAGACCTACAGGCAACGTATGATCTCTGTAATTGCAAACAAAGGTTTCTGTACCAAATATTAAGTTCTGCTTTTCTGATGTATCAAATACTTATGTCATGCAATAAAATGCAAATTAATTACTTAAAAATCATACAATGATTCCGGTTAGATTCCGGTTTCAACAGTTGAAGTGTACCTATGATAAAAATTACAGACCTCTACATGCTTTGTAAGTAGGAAAACCTGCAAAATCGGCAGTTTATCAAATACTTGTTCTCCCCACTGTAGATCTACTCACACCAATGCCATGTTCTCATCAGAAGGTATATGACTTCAAGACCTTGAATGTTCATTTATCTGATGTTAGTCCAATACAATACAGCTGATTGTTACTCAAGTCAACTTGAAACTCGTTTGACTGGACAGAGACCTTGGCTACAGAAAGGAGAGGCCAGTCATTGTCTCCTGTCCTGTGACACCATAGCCATAAAGCTTTAAAATCTCTCCTTATTAGCGAGGAGCTTGTAAAAAGGCATTTAGTCTTGATTAGCGTGCTTGCTTATAAAGCAGGCCCAGTAGCGCTGTCCTCGGTAGCCTGGTGTTTTCCCTTTTAACAGCTTCATAAATCCCTGTGGTGATTCACTCAACAAACACTGTCATTGGGCCGCACTGAGTAAAACTTTTCCCTATAAAGACCAACCCTCCTCTTGTCTCTTTCTCAGACACGAGGCGGTTTGACGATGAATATTAATTTAGTCAGTGATTTATAAGAAACCACATTCTAAAAGTTATTTAATTCCCTCGTGCAATAAAAGGGGGTTTTAATCTTGTTTTATGTGGAGGACTGAGCCGATGGAGCGATGGATGGTGGACAGGAGTGTTTGTGTGTGTGTGCCCCTGGTTTACTACACACTAGGCAGAGGGGACTGGATTACCTCACTGGGCTGAAAGTAATCAACCATTTGATGACTGTATCAGGGGGGCCAGCCCCAACCAAACCACAACCCAACCACAGACAGGCAAGCACTGCATTACTAAACTAGATCATAGCAATTATTAGTATCTATATACCACTTTCAACATACCTTGACACAATGACTCCTTGTCATTGTCACTTTACAGCTTTACCTCATTCTATTGTCTTCCTGGATAGGTAACCCTGTCTTTACTGGGCATAAGCCTGTGTATAAATTATCACAATTTAGCTTGACTGGTAGAGGAAGATGGTCTACGCAGATCACGTTTCGCTAAACCTTTTCCTAGACTCTAAACTACTATCATTTGTAAAGGTACACCTCAAAAATCCATGTTGTAATATACCAAACAACCTGTGCTAAACTTTAAATGATTTATAAGATGAGTTAAGTTATTGGTTAGACGTAATGCTAAGGGAAATACAAGTAAAGCAAACATTGTGGGCATAAAAACAGGGCAGTGAATCAGGCCTGGGCTGAGGTTTCTGACCACAGTGGGACTCTGTGGGGCACTGAAGCTGTAGTAGCCTTGAGTACTGATAAAACCTTACAAGACTTACAATCTAACCTGAAATACTACATCATGCAAAGATGTCCCTGGCTGCTACACCATCTCTGTGTAGCTGGGACACTACAGTTCTTTGGAGGACTACCTGGGGTTGTGTTCAGAAGGGCAAACCATAGAATGGAAAACTAAAATCTTAACTTCAGTAGCACTGTTTCAGAAGTTCTCCCTACTGAACACAATCCCTGAAGCAACAGAAGGGGAGGATGGAGCCAGAGAACACCTTACTAATATTGAGTTGCACCCCCATCCCTTTTGCCCTCAGAACAGCGTCAATTCATTGGGGCATGGATTCTACAAGGTGTTGAATGCGTTCCACAGGGATGCCAGCCCATGTTGACTCCAATGCTTCCCACAGTTGTGTCAAGTTGGCTGGATGTCCTTTGTTTGGTGGACCATTCTTGATACACACAGGAAACTGTTGAGCGTGAAAAACCCAGCAGCGTTGCAGTTCTTGACACAAACTCGTGCGCCTGGCACCTACTACCATACCCTGTTCAAAAGGCACTTAAATATTTTGTCTTACGCATTCACCCTCTGAATGGCACACATACACAATCCATGTCTCAATTTTCTCAAGGCTTAAAAATCCTTCTTTAACCTGTCTCCTCCCCTTCATCTATGCTGATTGAAGTGGATTTAACAGGTGACATCAATAAGGGATCATAGCTTTCACCTGGATTCACCTGGTCAGTCTATGTCATGGGAAGAGTTTTGTACACTCAGTGTATGTTATCTCAGCTGTGATCCTCCCCTCTGACCTCCACAGGACGGAAAGCGAGAGAAAGAAATAGAGAAAGGAAGAGGGAAAAAGAGAGAGCTTGTCATTCTTCCCCGTTAAGTGTTCTTTGTTCAGTCTGAATGTGTGCGGGAGGCTGTGCGTTGCGCCCATTTCTCATTTGATTAGCCCACCTTAATAGGCTCCCTGGCCCCCCCCAGGCCTCTGCACAACCCCCTGCAATCCATCTCCATCAGCCCGTTATCTTCATCTAGCGTCCACCTATATCCCAGCCTTTCATCTCTCAGGCAGGGAGAGAGGCAGGCAGGCAGGGCCAGTGGTGGCCTCCTGAGCACACTACTGGCTGGTGTAATTACAGTTAGATACGAGCGAAAGGGAAAAGGAGAGACCCAGAGGACTGAAAGCCTTTTACAATGGGGATTAATCCACATCCACCTCCTTCCCCATTCACCCAATTAATTCGGTCATCTGTACATACAACATCTTTGTATGATAGGCCTATGCAAAAATGTATGTCGAATTTACAAACCTTCGGAAACTCAAATGTATATTCACATCTAAAAACGTGAATACTGTTGAAGATTAAGATCAAGTCATATAACAAAGGACTAGTTAACAATACCCACAAATTCCAACAAACTATGGAGTGGGACATCGCTATTACAGTCCATGGCTGCCTCAGCTCTGTTAACTAACGCCTTAATTAAACTGACACCAGAAAATAAAACAGTTAAGTCCCAATTGATTTCTTCAGCTCCAGCCATATGTGTGTGAGGAGGGTTTCAGGTGGCTATAGGGGGAGGGCTCCTCTCTCTCACAGGGTCCGAGGGGGGAGAGGCAGAGGAGGAGGGAGCGGGTGGGGTAGAGTCATCACACAGAAATTGAGGACAGATTCAATTATTTGCGGAGCTACATGGAAATCTCTGCCATTGTTTCAAGTTGAGCATGAAATTTTGCAGCAATCACATTGGCGGCATTGGAGAGCTCATTTATCTTGTTTGGCAACGAGCGGGGATGGAGACACCGATGCCAAGAGATCATTACCCATCTGGGATGAGATCAGAGATTTCACTACCGCAAAATGCACACACGCGCGCAAACACACACACACACACACACACACACACACACACACACACACACACACACAATCAACATAACGAAAGGAGACATATCTCATTTTCATCGAGGGCTGAGAAAGAGAAAGCCATATGCATTTTGCAAACAGCAAAGTTGTTCCTCTGAAATCATTCAATCCCTTATTTGGTCTCTTTTAAAGGATTCTCACATTAAGCCTCTTTCTTTTCCATCAGGAAATTGCCCATAAAACTGTCACCCTGCATGTCCATTTGTTTCTAGATTTTGGCACAGAAAAGTCAGAATGTAAGAACATACAAGCAACATTGTACTGTTAAGAAGAATGAATGATGTCAACTCATGTACTTAATAATAATAATTATTATTATTATTTCCTTGTCTTTTTTATGACAATAGTAAATAATCATACAGGCTTGTTCTTCCCAATAAGCCAACAGAAAGTAAAGAAGAACTGTTAAACTATTATTCCCGTAACAACCCTCTCTCTGTTTGATGAATTACATCATCTCCCGCCGTATAATACAATACCCTTCCAACATCCTGTGGAACCTGATCAAATAAGGCCTCGTAGAAAACAACGGCAGGGAGGGAGAAACGCTAAATATCTGTGAGAAATATAGGTTCAGCTGAAGAGTTACTGTGACTGTCTGTAGATGCATTCTAAATGGCACCCTATTCCCTATATTGTGCACTATGTTTGACTTCCTTTTCCACATAGGGCACAATCAAAAGTAGTGCACTATACAGGGAATAGGGTGCCATTTAAGACACAAAGTCAGTGCTCCAGAGCAGACTGGTTGGTGAACCCCTCTCTCTCTCTGCCTGGCTGGTGGAAATATGATATTAAATAAATAGGCCTGTGTCACGTCTGGAGGAGAGCAGAGCAGCCGATAGCTAAGCTAATAAAGCCGATTGAGGAGGCAGGTAGGAGGCCCTTCTCATGGCTAAAGCCTACTCTTCCTTCTGTCTGACATCAACCAGCAGGAGTGATCTATGCCCAGTGCGCCTAACACGCCTAATACCCCTACTCCTTCATATAATGGCACAGAGCGGTATTCTCTTTCTGCGGCTGTGAGGGCGAGCGTGTGTGTGTGTGTGTATGTGAGAAGGGAGGCAGGGAGTTTCAACATAGTTACAGCGATGAATCAATCTCCTAAGTAGTCATGCTTCTGGCTTCACCACTTAGGGAACGATCCCCCGTCTATCTTCATGCCGATCCCCCGTCTATCTACACGGCCAAAAAAAATGAATCAACCTCACTATTCCTAAACCCCTACACCGTTTTCCTTATGGACACAAGGCTTTCCCTCCCTAACCCTCAGACAGTCACTGTGTTTACATCTCTCAGTCTGTCTGTCTGCCACACAGACGGATCATAATGACGCTGCCACAGAGGATGTACTGATGATGAATTCATCCCCCCACTCTGCACACACACACATTTATCCTGGGTACACACACCTTCATCCGGGAGAGAGAGGGAGGGAGGGATCGGACCAGATACGTGATCACAGTGCACCGATGAGCACAGATCAGGTCTACGTCCCAAATGGGACCTTATTCCCTTCATAGTGCAGTACTTTTCCATTGGCCGTGGTCAAAAGCAGTGCACTATGTAGGGAATAGGGTGCCATTTGGGACGCAGCCGAGATCAATACATCTCAAGCTGCTCTGATTATGCACCAGTTCAGTTCTCCAACAGCAGGCTGATATTCAATATGTGGCTAGAGCAGCTCTATGATAGCTGAGCAATGAAGCATTTAGCCTGCCGGGCAGGCAGGGCAGCCCTCCCAAGAGGAGACAGTCAGTGGAGAAGAGTGTGTGTGTGTGTGTGTGTGTGTGTGTGTGTGTGTCTACGGGTGTTAAGAGGAAGTAATCATGTGTGGATTTATAAAACACTTGCTACGCTCGTACTACTATGCCCTTCACAGGAAGTCAATGATGATGATGGCGGCTGAGGGAGAATAAGAAATGGAGCCGTTTGGTTGCTTTGTTGAAACCAAAACATTCATTTATCTCAGTCAGAGTGAGCAGGGCTGGGGAAAGGAAACAGCCAAATGAGATGTGAGGAAGGAGTGAGAAGGAAGAGACAGAGAGATTGTGATGGAAGGCAGTGGCAGACTGCAGTTTGCAGTTTCCGACCCGTGGCCACGTTTAAGATAGGGTTGGGGAAAACCGAAGCAACTGAGCCAAAATGGGGAGCAAGAGGAGGAATATGCCACACATGCAGAAACAAGCAATCAACCACAATCCCCCGCTCTCTCTCCACTAGCTGTGCTGCTCTGACCCCAATTACCCATTCAGGGGCCGGCCCTGCTTCCGGGCGCCACATGTCGGGGAATATGGATGAGGACATGGAGATGAGGGAATTAGAGAGGCTGGCCTTTACCATGCACAGATTATTCACATTTATCTGGTGTTTGGTAGGGAGGCTAGGGAGACTGCCTGTGTTTCTACTACACTAGGAGGTCTGCCGGCCTGTTGCTTCTCACCAGGCCTAGTGTGTGTGTGTGTGAGTGTGTGTGTGTGAGTGTGTGAACACTACTGGAGGATGGTAGAGCAGCAGCTAGGCAAACAATTACACATGATTAGGTTGTAATGAATTGGGGAGGTAGGTGGCTAGGTACAGCAGCTAGATAGCAGAAGGGGGGAGGTAGTGTGTGTGGTGATATTAGGATTCCTGCGTGGTGCTGTGTGTCTGGCCCAGATGGAGCACACAGCTACAGAGAGGGGATCAATACGGTGGGACTCTCCTGTGATCAGACCAGGGGACAAAGTGAGGCTTCGCTAGATTCACCGCAGGAGGAAAAACGACCACACAAAATGCATCATTTATGACATAACTGGCCAAGTGTAGGAAGGAAAGAGAAACTCATCTGAGAGTAATAGAAACGTGACATGAGAGGAATGGGGGAGGCAGTGGTTAGATTTCAGCCTGGGCAGGTGTGTGTGTACTGAGAAGAGAGGATGGGGGGATGATTCTTACTTCTCTATTTCGCTGTTTTTACAGGTCCGGGGCGCGTTGGAGGATGAGCAGGCGTTGGGCTCCTGAGGCAGCTGCTGCTTGCTGCTCTCCCCGTTGCTCGTAGAGGGCATCTCTGCAGAGAGAGAGACGGGGAGCTATTAGCACCAACCTCAACATTAATCAATACGGTCGAAAGATTTCAACAAGGTAACCAAAAATATAGAGGATGACATCTTGTTTCAAGCCTTAACTCACCATCACTGGCCCATTTGGAGAACTCTGGCGTTATTCTGTTGGATGGCATTCCACCACTGTAAGAGCAGAAACAAACATAATACTATGTCATGAGAAGGAGCTCAACGCCACAGACAGGAAGTCGTCAATAGAGTAGAGTTGACTAGCATATAGTAGAGTGGTATGAGTGAGAACCTACTTCAACACTGCGCCGCGTAGGGCTTCCCGTTCTTTGGCTTCTCCTTGGTCCTCTCCGGAGCAGGGAATGATGTCTGCCTCAGTGTACTGGGCCTTGCCGTACTCCAGTGTGTCGTCTCCATCCACGTCAAGGTCGGCGTCGCTGTCGTGGTTCTCCTTCGTGCTGCACATGGCAAAGCCTGTTCCTGAGGAGAGGCAGGGAGGCGAGAGAGGAGGGAGTCAGTGTCTTTCAGACCATGCAACCTTTGTCAATGTTGAGGAGGAAAATAACTATTTGTGTAAATAGTGTATATACCAGGGGTACTCAACTACTATTTGGGAAGATCCGGTCACACAAATTTCCTAGGTGGCAAAGGTCTGAAACGATATTTTCATGGATCGGTGTAGTAACAAACCCCCATCTCGCAACCAATGCGACCCCACACTGTTCAAACTCTACACAGCCCTCTTGTTGGTGGAGAGAACATTTTGCAGTTTTAAAAAGGTCATTTCCTGCAATTCTACACATTTTGCCATATCTTATGTGTGTTCATATGACACCGGAGTGACTCAACAAAATCAAATCCTGACTGGTTGCATCACCGCCTGGTATGGCAACTGCTTGGCCTCTGACCGCAAGGCACTACAGAGGGTAGTGCGTACGGCCCAGTACATCACTGGGGCAAAGCTCCCTTCCATCCAGGACCTCTATACCAGGCGGTGTCAGAGGAAGGCCCTCAAAATTGTCAAAGACTCCAGTCACCCTAGTCATAGACTGTTCTCTCTGCTACCGCACGGCAAGCGGTACCGGAGTGCCAAGTCTAGGTCCAAAAGACTTCTCAACAGCTTCTACCCCCAAGCCATAAGACTCCTGAACAGCTAATCATGGCTACCCGGACTATTTGCACTGCCCCCCCACCCCATCCTTTTTACGCTGCTGCTACTCTGTTAAGTATTTATGCATAGTCACTTTAACTCTACCCACATGTACATATTACCTCAACTACCTCAACTAGCCGGTGCCCCCGCACATTGACTATGCAACGGTACCCCCCTGTATATATAGCCTCCCTACTGTCACTTTATTCTATTGTATATATAGCCTCCCTACTGTCACTTTATTTTTACTTCTGCTCTTTTTTTCTCAACACTTTTTTGTTGTTGTTTTATTCTTACTTTTTTGTTTAAAATAAATGCACTGTTGGTTAAGGGCTGTAAGTAAGCATTTCACTGTAATGTCTGCACCTGTTGTATTCGGCGCATGTGACCAATAAAATTTGATTTGATTTGATTTGAAATGCAGGCCCCCGGGCACGTAATCTGGCCATGATAACTACAGGATTTAGATAGCCTAACTTACCTAACACAGGCTAGTAGTTGATAAACTGGACATTTCTGACAGGTTATAAAAAGTATTTATTACATTTCCATTTTAGTCATTTAGCAGACGCTCTTATCCAGAGCGACTTACAGTTAGTGAGTGCATACCTTTTATCTAAAAAAAAAATATATATATATATACACACTGGCCCCCCGTGGGAATCGAACCCACAACCCTGGCGTTGCAAGCGCCATGCTCTACCAACTGAGCTACATGGGGCCCTGTTCTGGGTCCGGATGCGAACCGCCAGTTGAGTATGGCTGGTATATACTTCACAACCTCTGAAACATTCATTTCTGTAATTTCAGATGGGATGACATTGCAAACCAGGCCTCCAACAAACAGTAGCAAGCCTTTTCTCTAAGACCCTGTCTGCCTATCCCTCTCTCTACACATGTAGACCAGCAGGTTACGAAAGATCTGAGTTTGTCTATTAAACCTGCTGCTAAAGCAGACTGATTGAAATGGACATGTTGAGATGCTGCCATCTCGCCCTCCTTTTCTGTGAAGTGTTGTTGGCCAGGTGAGGCTGTCAGCTGCAGACTGGGGGAGAGAGGGAGGGAGTTTAGGGGGTTGTGTCAGCTGTCTGTCAGCTGCCAGTGGCTGGTTATCTGGTTATGGGAGCGTGGCGGTCTGGGAGGGGCTGACTGACTGGCGGTAGGGTCTGACTGGCACCTCTAGAAACCATGTGATGAGCGGCTCCCCAGACAAACTCCTGCTGCGCTCTGACTGGCCCTTTCAGCTCCACTTAGGGCCCTGCCTGTGCTACCCTTGAGACACACACAGTGCTGGGGGCTGATTGAGTGGTCAGGGGCCGAGTCTCCCACTCGTCTAGGGCTGGACACTGATAGCTGACTCATGTCAGGACAGGAGATGGTACAGTGGTGGAGTACAGACAGACTCAGCTGTTAAGGATAAAAAATGGCATGGGCTCATACAAAGACAAAAGGTAGAGTCATGGATAGAGGTTCTAAGGCCAACCTACTACAGAGACCCAGAAGGCAGGCAGCCTCTTCCCCTCTCTCCGTGGAGGCTGGAGGAAGCTGTGCTAAGGCACTGGAGCTGCTGCTGGAGAAGAGAGGGTAAAAACCATGTCCCTGCCTGCCATCAAGGCTAACCATTTTTTACAATGCGCCCATGCTTTTCAGTGATCATATATACTGAACAAATATAAAATGCAACATGAAACAATTAGGCCCTAATCTATGGATTTCACATGACTAGGCAGGGGTGCAGCCATGGGTGGGCATATGCCCACCTACTGGGAAGCCAGGCCCAGCCAATCAAAATGAGTTTTTCCCCACAAAAGGGCTTTAATACAGACAGAAATACTCCTCAGAACCCCCCCTCCCCCCTGTCAGGTGGATGTATTATATTGGCAAAGGAAAAATGCTCACTAACATGGATGTAAAAAAACATCTGCAAAAGATGTGAGAGAAATAAGCTTTCTGTACGTATGGAAAATGTCTGCGATTTTTTTATTTCAGCTCATGAAACATGGGACCAACACTTTACATGTTGCGTTTATATTTTCGTTCAGTGTAAAAGGGACCTTTTGAGTTTATTTCATCCCTGTAGCTGGGTGGAGCATATATATGAACAATGGCTGTGGTGCACAAATATGTCTGTTTAGCTGCTGGTGGCAGTGACAGTAGTACTAGACAGCTGAGGGGCCCAGTGGGCAGCATGGGAGCCTGTCCTATCCAGATAGACCACCACCATTCAGGGACCTTGAGATTATTTAAATAGTATCTGCCCACTGGTCCCCTCAGCTGTCTAGTACTACTGTCTCTGCCACAAGCAGCTAAACAGACATATTTGTGCACCACAGCCATTGTTCAGATATATTCCACGTAGCCACAGGAATCAAATAAAACGTAAAAGGTCCCTTTTATATGATCACTGAAAAGCATGGGCACATTGTAAAAAGGGTTAGCCTTGATGGCAGGCAGGGACATGGTTTTTACCCTCTCTTCTCCAGCAGCAGCTCCAGTGCCTTAGCACAGCTTCCTCCAGCCTCCACGGAGAGAGGGGAAGAGGCTGCCTGCCTTCTGGGTCTCTGTAGTGGTGGAGGGTTGGAAGGAACCAGAAATCACTGTTATTCCAATCAATTGATCAGGGTATTGATACTGCGGCTAGTTAGCGATGCATGGCTGGAGCCAGGAGATGGGAAGGGATGGGAGAGATAGCACAGCATTGATTTTTAGAAGACTGTGGTGTTGTGGTGGCTAAAGAGAATGGTTCTAGATGCTTTCACTGTCCCCAACCCCCAACAGTGTTGGGGCCACAGTGGTTCTAAGAAGAGGGCTTTCCAGAGTTCAGTTTTACTAGATGGGATTAGCATTAAACCCAGTGGGACATGGATAAATATTCCCCTTAAATATACTCTCCCCAACTGGAACTGACAGAGATGGGCAGACTACTACAGCTGCATTCGATCCAGTTCAATCTTAATTCACCACAGCGGTAAGTGTGGAAGAGGACTATAAAGACTAGTAGGGAAAACAAGATCCCCATCACACTGATAGCTGACTGATAGAAACTAAAACGAAGGGATGCTATAAAAGCAGGTGGCATGTAGCCTAACTATCCAGCCGAAATTGGATTGTCCAAAGTCTAAGCGTCAGACCCTGTTGTTGTCCCATGAGCAGACGAGAGGACTACAGCAGTCTTAAGTCATGGGCTGCGTCCCAAATGGCACCCTATTTCCTATTTAGTGCACTACTTCTGAGCAGAGCCCTACGGGCCCTGGTCAAAAGTAATGCATCAAATAGGGAATAGGGTGCTGTTTGGGACTCAGCCATGTTGTTGGGCTGGCCAGCATGGTCTGGTCCTGCTGCTCAGCCCTTATCTCTCCCTTTAACCAGTCTTGGCAGGCAATCTAATCTCCCCTGAAAAGGTCAGCAGCATATATATATATATATATATATATATACACATATATCTCTCTCGCTCTCTCTCATCGACTTGAACATGTAAAATACATGTGTTCTTGCCTGTGTAACATGGACCTGACTGTGACACGGCACACCTATCTCCATATACCACCTATTACCGCAGAGACAGAGTCAGTGACAACGTTAGGTTTCTGAGATGTGAGTAGCGAGGGAGGGTCAAGGGGCCAATCAACATAAGAGACAGCCTGACCAACAACACCCGGTTGCCATGGCACTGATAGCCCTTATCAGCCCTCCCCAGTCGGCTCTGGTTGAAGGCTGTCATATCTCACTGGCATTTACAGGACCCGTCTGGAGAGATGAGGGGACAGAGATGGAAGCCCATTTACAAAGGAGAAAGCACCGCCTTATATACCGGTGCCATCTCCAGTCAGCAGGCCCAAATCCTCTCTCCCTGGATCAGCCCACTTAGCCTTGGTCTTCACTATCAGGCTGTTGGGATCAGATCTGACCTCCTTCATCAATACAGCAGCCTTTAGAGCTGTCTCCCAGGTCCTCATAAGCCATGTACACAGGAGGAACAGGGCCCCACACGTCTCAAGCAGAAAGTGATCCTGTTCGATTTTCCTCCCACCCTCTGCCTGTCTTCGACTTTTCTGTGCTGTTTAAAGGGCTTCCCTTTGCCTTTCCTCTCAAAGGGACAGAGGTGGCGGTGTTGGTGTCTCACAGAGGATAGCTTAGGCCTTTTATCCAATTGAAGCCCCTTGTCACCGTCTCTCCTCCCCGCATCAACCACCCCCCCCCCCCCCTGGGCTGGATGGATGGTGGATTCTGCCTGGCTGGACCCATTGAACCATGGTTGACTGCAGCAGAGCTTTCAAGGCAAATCCACCTTCTGAGCTTCTAGGGGGGGTTGCTTTCAAGTGGTATCACCAGGCTGGTTGGAGCAGCAGCAGCACCTCTGACTTTGACCAGCCCTTATCTGTGTCACATCACAACATCACAGGACGCCGGGCTATCACAGCCCGCCAGAAGGGGTCTACTGCTCATTAGATGAATGGACAGACAGCCTCCTGCTCAGGAGGTTCAGTCGAGAATTCAAATTGATCTGTAGGCCGTTGATATCAGTCTGTCTGGACAGGTTTGCGGCGAGAGAGATAGAGGAGCCAAAAGGCTCACGTCTTATTGGGCTTTGTAATGTAGTTTTACTCTGGATCGAATTTGGGGACTTGGGGGGTTTAGTGACTTTGCAAGGTTTAAAGAGGACCTTAAAGAAGAGGACTTCACTTTCCTGTGATCTATAGACACACCACGAGGACCTGTGTCCAATTCATTTTTACAGCTCTCGCTAGCAATGAAGTAAGGCCTGTCTGTCGGACATGAAATAATGAACACTGACCTACAACCAAATCATACACTTGTCCAATTAAGCGGACTACACTAGTTATTGATCACAGACCAATGGCCTACTAAATATTCACCAATCATGTACGTGAGCACATAGCGGTTAGGTTGGATACATTTATTATAGCATCTAAATCACTAAACTAGATCTATCTGGTTGCTTGATCGCCTACGTTTAAAAGTTCACTATTGGAGAAAAAGAAATTAAAATAGACAATTTATTGAGCAATGTAATCAATAGCCCATTGACGTCTTGTTGTCAACGATTACTGATAATGGATTATGTATTGAATTCTAGCCCTTCCTATTGATGACGTGAGCTTAGCTAAGATATGTTTCAGAGGGAGAGAGAGATATAGCGAGAGGGAGATGGAATGTGAGAAAGAAAGAGTGAGAGAAAAATAAATGGAGAGAACATGAGAGAGAGAGTAGTCTGTTCCCTAGTGGGCAGCTTTGTGTCCATTGCTATAATTGCATTGCTGGGCTGAGGGGAACCCAAAGGGTCACTGGCCCATTTCCCTTCCACACACCACTCCTCACCGGTTCAGACAGGTCAATTGCACAGCTAAATGTGTTTTCCTTTCTCTCCTAAAGGGGCCAGGGCCAGACTGGGCTGACCCCTGCCTGGACCGGGGCTACATGCCCTCACACTGCAGCTGGAGCCAGAGGGCACATCCCAAATGGCACCCTATTCACTATTTAGTGCACTATGGGCCCTGGTCAAAGGTAATGCACTAAATGGGGAATAGGGCGTAATTTGGCACATAAACCTAGAGCTGTCCACCCTGTAATCGTGGCACATAAACCTAGAGCTGTCCACCCTGTAATCGTGGCACATAAACCTAGAGCTGTCCACCCTGTAATCGTGGCACGTAAACCTAGAGCTGTCCACCCTGTAATCGTGGCACGTAAACCTAGAGCTGTCCACCCTGTAATCGTGGCACGTAAACCTAGAGCTGTCCACCCTGTAATCGTGGCACATAAACCTAGAGCTGTCCACCCTGTAATCGTGGCACGTAAACCTAGAGCTGTCCACCCTGTAATCGTGGCACGTAAACCTAGAGTTGTCCACCCTGTAATCGTGGCACGTAAACCTAGAGCTGTCCACCCTGTAATCGTGGCACGTAAACCTAGAGCTGTCCACCCTGTAATCGTGGGCATGGTAGGCATGTTAGCCTCTGCACCCTGTTAAGTCCTTTTAAAAGGCAATGATACACCGCCTCACCCTGTTGTTGTTACTGAGGGGGCTTGGGACTAGCAGGGAATGACGTTTAGATTGAGTGCTGTGGTGGAAGGCATTTGGTGCACTGGGTTTCCAGACTCTTATACTTTCAGCTACCCTAAATATTTAGTTGATTCTCAAATGTTACATAAATGTTTTGAACCAAAGTAGACTAATTTATTTTCTTAGTGTGAAAAATAGGGTTGCGTCCCAAATGGCACCCTATTCCCTTTATAGTGCACTACTTTTGACCAGGGCCCATAGGTGTATAGTGTCACTGTATAGTGTACCTCTGAAGCCTCCTTCCAGCAGGGTGGTAGCTCTGACCCTCTTCTGGCCGCACCACTCGTACTCCTCGAAGCGGGTCCCGTTCTCTCCGTCCATGTCTGCAGAGTCATCCTCAGCAAACGCACCCTCCCTCTGAGAGAACAAGACACAGTCAACACTGAACCAGACACAGGGTAGGGCTGAGTGCGGAAAAATACATGTTCTCCTATGTCAGAATTTGGAACTATTCGCATAATCAAAATGATCAACCAAAAACTATTCCAAGTATACCATATCACCAAAATGCTTATCAACTTATCAATACTTGTTAAATATTTCTTATTAATACAAAACTAGTTGTGATGTACAATAGGTGATAGAACTACAACTAATGGATCTGTGAAATTTGGAAAAAACATCACCAAAGTAGGGGGGCGAGTGCAGCATCATGACCAACGTTATAGAAAGCATGATTTCTATAAATAAATACATTATATTCTGTGAGCTAAAGTGAGGTGTTACAGTGTGAGTGAGAATGCATTTTTGAGTTGGTCAGGAGGCCTCACTTGCCATCTATTCTATTTAGGAACCAGAGATTCAGAGGAGGAAGAAGATTTTCCTACAGGAGAGAGACAACTAAAAGAAGAGCTTGTCAGACAGTGAGGGAAAAAAGTATTTGATCCCCTGCTGATTTTGTACGTTTGCCCGCTGACAAATAAATGATCAGTGAGAGACAGAATAACAACAAAAAAATCCAGAAAAACGCATGTCAAAACTGTTATAAATTGATTTGCATTTTAATGAGGGAAATAACTATTTGACCCCTCTGCAAAACATGACTTAGTACTTGGTGGCAAAACCCTTGTTGGCAATCACAGAGGTCAGACATTTCTTGTAGTTGGCCACCAGGTTTGCACACATCTCAGGAGGGATTTTGTCCCACTCCTCTTTGCAGATCTTCTCCAAGTCATTAAGGTTTCGAGGCTGACGTTTGGCAACTCGAACCTTCAGCTCCCTCCACAGATGTTCTATGGGATTAAGGTCTGGAGACTGGCTAGGCCACTCCAGGACCTTAATGTGCTTCTTCTTGAGCCACTCCTTTGTTGCCTTGGCTGTGTGTTTTGGGTCATTGTCATGCTGGAATACCCATCCACGACCCATTTTCAATGCCCTGGCTGAGGGAAGGAGGTTCTCACCCAAGATTTGACGGTAAATGGCCCCGTCCATCATCCCTTTGATGCGGTGAAGTTGTCCTGTCCCCTTAGCAGAAAAACACCCCCAAACCATAATGTTTCCACCTCCATGTTTGACGGTGGGGATGGTGTTCTTGGGGTCATAGGCAGCATTCCTCCTCCTCCAAACACGGCGAGTTGAGTTGATGCCAAAGAGCTCTATTTTGGTCTCATCTGACCACAACACTTTCACCCAGTTCTCCTCTGAATCATTCAGATGTTCATTGGCAAACTTCAGACGGCCCTGTATATGTGCTTTCTTGAGCAGGGGGACCTTGCGGGCGCTGCAGGATTTCAGTCCTTCACGGCGTAGTGTGTTACCAATTGTTTTCTTGGTGACTATGGTCCCACCTGCCTTGAGATCATTGACAAGATCCTCCCGTGTAGTTCTCATGATCATTGCAACTCCACGAGGTGAGATCTTGCATGGAGCCCCAGGCCGAGGGAAATAGACAGTTATTTTGTGTTTCTTCCATTTGTGAATAATCGCACCAACTGTTGTCACCTTCTCACCAAGCTGCTTGGCGATGGTCTTGTAGCCCATTCCAGCCTTGTGTAGGTCTACAATCTTGTCCCTGACATCCTTGGAGAGCTCTTTGGTCTTGGCCATGGTGGAGAGTTTGGAATCTGATTGATTGATTGCTTCTGTGGACAGGTGTCTTTTATACAGGTAACAAACTGAGATTAGGAGCGCTCCCTTTAAGAGTGTGCGCCTAATCTCAGCTTGTTACCTGTATAAAAAACACCTGGGAGCCAGAAATCTTTTTGATTGAGAGGGGGTCAAATACTTATTTCCCTCATTAAAATCCAAATCAATTTATAACATTTTTTACATGCGTTTTTCTGGATTTTGTTGTTGTTATTCTGTCTCTCACTGTTCAAATAAACCTACCATTAAAATTATAGACTGATCATTTCTTTGTCAGTGGGCAAACGTACAAAATCAGCAGTGGATCAAATACTTTTTTCCCTCACTGTATGTGTTCTGAGTCTATGTCATGTCTATGTAGTGTCTATGTAATGTCAGGTCCAGGGGAAAGAGAGGGAGCAGAGTGGATAGATACTAGATAGCGTGGTGGTGACCAGTGACTAGAGTGGTGACTGGTTGACTAGAGGCCTGAGGCTAAGGGGGAACGGGTACGGACGTGAGGCTACCTTGAACAGACATTGTTCCACATGCCTACTCATCTCCTCCTCTGTCCCTGCCAGCGGCGCGCTGCACAGTGGACATACCTGCCCATCCTCTGGCTTCCGGCGCTTCATCTTCCCAATCCGGGCTGAAACACAAAGAAACAGAGGAAGAGGTGGTTAGAAACATGGGGAAATACATGGAAATCTGGGACTTGTTTTTGTATTTCTCTTTTTTAAGTTGCGTCCTGAAATATCACATTGATTGGTTAAAAAAAGTCAATTGACTTCAGCAGACAGCAATGTGGCTACAATGACATGATTGGTTGAAATGCAGCAAAAGAGGACTCAATCCAAAAAACAGAATGAACCAAATGTTCTTGATTAGAATCTGATATGAGTTATTTGATAATATTAAACCCTCTGTCAGTGTGGATAACCAGGCTCATAGCAGGCAATACAGCCCAGCAGAATGCCTCAAAACCAGGCTCTTTTAATATGGCAACCGGTATTGAATTTGACATGGACCAAAAACACACAGTAAATTCATGGTAGCCTTTTGGGAGTTTTCTACCTCCTCTGTCCTCCAGCTGTGTGCTGTGTGTCTCTCTCCTCTTCTGGGCAAAAGAGCAGCAGTGAACGCTATTGGCATTCACAACATGTCAGAGAAGTTTGCTGCCTCGCTGGGAATAACGCGGGTCAGCGGAGTGGAGGGGAATCGATGTGCCCCAGGTCTCCCAGACGATGCCACAGCGTTTAGCCTGGTACCAGAAGATCAGGAATTACAACAGCGGGCAGGGAGGCCGCCATGACAACCATCCTCAGTGCCACAACTACTCTAACGTCACGAGACTACCCGCTAATGTTAGGCCTATAATACAGTGCCATGACAAAGAGAGGGGGCAATCTACTCTCTTCATGGGAACACTGTTTTAGGAGAACCATCCCCAGTGCCACAACTATGGTCTACTACCCCTACATGTTATAACACATTGACAGGACATAGAGAGAGGGCAATCTATTCTCTTAATAGGTCCAAACAGTGTTTTAGGAGGATGCCTAAACCTAGAGAAGGTTCCTCATCTTTCTCCAGGATGATAGGTAAAGATGGTCTACTGTAGGTCTAGGTCACGTGACTGAACACTCCTTCCACGTCTCTCTCTAGTCTACGACCCCCCCCCCCCCCCACCACGCGCATAATTAGAAATTTAACACAGCAGAACAGCAGCCATTGCGCCGTAAGTCTTTGTCGACTTTTCTTAACTGCAAATGGCGTGCGGGGACATTAATTTTTAGGTGGCTGTGATTTGCGAAAGGGGCCAAGGGGGACCTGAGGAGGGATGGCGAGAGGAGGAGGAGGGACAATGCGCCATAACTCCAGGGATATTGGGAAAGCTCCTCATAATCTCTCTCCCAGGCCAGGGAACGGGTGATGGTAATCGAGGAGGGCGTCATTAAACGCAGAGAGAAAGGGACGATTAATTAGGCACGGCACAAGCCCCCCCCCCAAAAAAAAAATCATTCAGGTTCCACATGAGAGGTAATAGACATTAATGGAGGCCTGAGTTTAAACAAAGTCGGCACCGTTTCATTTCGTAGCAGCAGTGAGGCTGCTGCCGAGCCGAGGCTGGTGTACGCTAAATGTCAATGGAGGCAGGGAGGGAGACTGGGCCTGAAGTGAGCTAGCTCGGGGGTGTTGAGGAGGGGACTGGGGGCAGGCGCTTACCGTGGCGAATGCAGCAGGGGGCAAGGGGGGCTCCGTTGTGCAGTCCAAGGGGAGCACTTTTGACACTTTCCTTGGCGTAGCGCCTGCACCAGCAGAGGTCATCGACTGTTAACATATCAAGAAGGTCAAGGGTTAATAGATCCTCTGCTCGTGTAGGCGCTAGGTCAAGGGAAAATCAGGGAGGGATACACACAGGGGCAGCCAGGGCTCCCGACCCCCCCACCAGCCAGCCCTGCTATCACACTCAGTGGGTCAACAAGGGGCAGGCCTGGCTCTGTAGCTGTAATGTAGGCTACAACCTGGAGCTGGTCCACAGTGTGAATGGGCTGTCAGCAAGGGCTGTGTTCAACATGGTCCTCTGGCTATATTGAGCCATAATGTGTGATATAGATGACAGAGCCAAGATTTTGGCTATGCAGGGTAGAAATGTGTGGTCAGTCACACCTATCACAATCCAACCAAACACAGGTCAGATTGACATCTCACTCATGGCCACCCTGCCTGGTCAAGGTCCCACAGACTCAGACTCTCTCTGTCAGTTGATCCATCCAGACCTATGAATCTGTCCTCCCACTCTGAATATTAGGGTGACCAGACATCCCCAATTTCCGGGGACAGTCCCCATTGGTGGCCTGTCTCCGGCTATAGCTGTCCCTGATTAGCCCTCAGAAAGAATAAAGCAACTCGAAGATAAATTGAGGCTGATATTTCAATAATCAAACACAGTATCCAATCAGATTTGCATGTAAAAATGTCTGTCCCTGTACAAAACTTGTTTGCTACAGCAGCTTTGCCTCGGACCTAATGAGAATGTTTGATCAGTGATACATTGTAACCGCATGAACAACTACGGCCATGGCCATAAAGTGCATCCAACAGCATAGGCTACCAAACTTGGGTGATTCTAAAATTACTAGATAAGCTAGGATTACGAAAACTGTGGCGGAGTAATGCATTTCTGTTTTCATTTATTAAAAAGTATTTTAAAGGGCTATAGTAAAAATTGGTAGTTCCATACAATGTATACATTTTTGGTGCAGCTACATAACTGAATAAAATGATTTAAATTTCCAAAATCTGGTCACCATACTGAAGATGCACATGCGCCTCACCAGTTGCTGCTTCAACATGTATTGACAATTCCACCAACTGTAATACAGGTGATATTTGGTTGAGCAACCTTCATTTTCAGTAGTGTATTGAAAAAGTATAAAATAAAACTGTTTAGGCTACTTAATAAATATGAATAGAATATTATTTGATAGGGAAATATCTTGTTTTAGGAAATAACCTAAATAGACATGATTTAATCATGTCACAAGCCGATAGTGGCATTATTTCAGAACATTACTGCACAATTTCACCAAGACAATGAAGCTAGGCTCTAATCATGTCATTGCATACAAGTGGGTTTTGTGATGTTGCAGGTGATGAGATCATGATATCTTCATTAATATATATATTAATATATATGCTGTAATTCTACAGGATGTTGTACCAGAAATGCTGTTAGAAATAAATAAGTTGCCTTATGAAAAACATAAACGTGTAAGATGCTTATGAAAAGTATTTAACTTTCAAAAGAAAAATGAAATGTATACATACCATTCAATCGGGTTTGCCTATTTGCCCGCACTCGTAAAAATGTCTGCAGGTAGGAAGAAAGGAATCACACAAAATATGCATTAGATATGGACCTTTGAATTTATAATGTTCATAGATACATTAGTAGCAGTGCATGGATGGATTGCTTTGGATTCTACAGTGTGCCCTGCAAGCTACATCTTGATAGTAAACAAAAACCTACTTCTCTTTTGGGCTGTATCGTGTCTTCCATAACAGGGTCGTCAAGTTTTGTTCAAAGCCTTTTCAAGCCGACAAACTCACTTGTTCACGTCTATCATTTAGGTCTCCCGGTACTAGACCGCACCATTAATACAATTTTGTATCAATAATTTTATGAGGATGCCAAAGGATTGAATGTGCCGCCTACAAAGCCGCTCTGTTCATCGACGTCGCCATCTTGGCTTGGCGCGTGTCATGTGACCAACACAGGAGTGAAAGTTCAGAGGACGTCCGGTGTCGTACCACCGTTTGACACTAGGGAGCAGCAATAAGTAATATAGTGGCTGGCTTCAATGGAAGTTGACTTGATATGAGATTTCAAGATTTATTCAAGTTTGTCAAGTAACTTGTAGGGTAAACAAGTTGTATGCATCATATCTAAACTTAGTTTTTTGCAGTCAATACAAATAGTATAAACTTTTTATTTCATTTTCTGAAAATGAGTGTTTCCTTATTTTGTACAATCTCATCATATCAAAGTGACATAAGAAATAGGCTATGAATTCTCTCCATCTAAACTTGTTTGAAACTGACAGGCATGATCAGTGATTGTGAATACCACTAAGATATGGGTTAAGTGGGACCACCTATCTTTCTTCTCCCTTCTCTTCCAGAGTGTGTAGGCTATGTGCTGACACTAGCAGGGCCAGTCAGGGCAATGGATGAATGTCCACTCATCGACACGGGCACAGAATGTGGTCAAAAATTCAAATTCCTGCCGAGTGGTCGTCCATCATATACCAGACAGGCCTCTTACACTGATACTTAAGTCATGCTCATATCCAACCTGCACCATGATGATCCACTATGGCTGCTTCCCAAATGACACGCTATTCCCTATTTAGTGCACTACTTTTGACCAGGGGTCATAGTGCTCTGCTGAAATATAAAGTACCTGACAGGGAATAGGGTGCCTTTTGGGACGCATGCTATCTAAACGGCTTACACAATTACATGATGAGGAATAATAACAAAAATCTAAAATGTCAGGGGGGTTGGGGTCTCCATTTACTTAATCATTTGTATGAAATGATTTCAGCAGCAATTTTACTAATGAAAATATATACTTTAACCACACTGCCCCTTTAATAGGCCTGTCAATGTATGGATATGATGTCCTACACTAATAGTTCTCACTTTATGGTATAAGGAAGAAAACCACTTAACCCAAATAATAGATCATTGGCATATGAGTTTGAAATACTAAACTTTGAGAGAAAAAAAGTACGGTATATAAGCTACATTATAATTATAGATTCGGTTAAAACACTGTGCTGTATGAGTAAGTTAAATCCTAACTAATCTACTGTACGGCCACATCCCAAATAGCACCCTATTCCCTATATACTGTAGTGCACTACTTTTTACCTGGGCCCATTGGGGTCTGATCAAAAGTAAGGCACTGTGTAGGGAGTATAGTGTCATTTAGGACGCACACTGTAGTGGTGAGGCCTCCAGCAGAATGAGGTGGAAAACATGTCAAGGATGCTGTAGACCAGAAGAGATACCATCCAGGCTTAGGGAGCATAAGAGCTTGAGGTAAACTATGGATGATTACCTATCTGAACAGGGAAACACATTACAGCCTGGACAAATCTTTACCAGAGATAGTCGGAGGATAGAGGGGTGCCTTCCCAAATGGCACCCTATTCCCTATATAGTGTACTACTTTTGACAAGGGCCCATAGGGATCTGGTCAAAAGTAGTGCACTATATAGGAAATAGGGAGCCATTTGGGACACAAGCAGGTAGGATAGAGGTAGGCGGCTTGGCTGATTCCTGATGGAGACTAGGACCTCTATTGACTCCCTGATCCACTCCATGATAGCGAGATGATTGGCTGAGTCAATGTTGTGTGTTCAACACTAAAACAACAAATTATTACCTTGTCGTCTTTCACCATCGCCGCGGTGACACCTGTGAGTTTGCCTAATGTTTAACCTCTCTAACAGAGAGCAGGGGACGTTTTTGCACATTGTCCATCCATTGCATTTCCTGTTATTTTACCAGGAGTATGTTTCATAGAGAGTTTAATTTTTCCTGTCATATGACAGGATATGATGATGGGATTATGATGCTAAATATGTGGGCCAAGAGCAGCATCCTGGTAGCGTCCCAAATGGCACCCTATTCCTTACATAGAGTACTACTTTTAACCAGGGCTCTGGTCAAAGTAGTGCACTAAATAGGGCATAGGGTGCCATTTGGAACCTACCCCTTGTTTCTCCAGGCAGGGCACAGGGCAGGCAGCTCACCTGGTATCTGTCGGAGTGGTGGGCGTCTTCAGAGGAAAGAGGGGAGACCACCGGTGACTCTCCCTCGCGTTTGATGTGCACCGACAACAGCATGGACTGAGGAGAAAGAGCAAGACAGTTATTGTGAGAGGAAGAGAAGAGGTGAATGCTGCAGTGGAGGCAAGGAGGACACTCGCCAACATTACAGTCATCTAGAAACCTGCTCTGAGAGCCTCAGATGAGCCTCCAACATTACAGGCCTGTCCCACTGTCAAACTTAATTGAGTTAATTTCTCAAATGAACGAGGGGAAAGGGGGGGGGAAGGGGAAATAGTGCTTACTTTACGGGGCATAGTTGACAGAGATCCAGCTCTTTACGAGGCTGCTATGAAATATTTGTATTTACAATGTGTCCCTATTAATCAAGGAGAGAGGAGAGAGCAGGGGCTTAAGTGGCGGACAACTATAATCTAATATTAATATGTGAGAAATGGCAGACCCCTAGTGCCGGGACAGTAAATTAAGCATTGTGCATGGCTTTTTATGCTTCGGGACTGCAAGGTCAGGTAACTGCTGTTTATTTGTGTGGCTTGAGCTTGGGGAATATTTGTGTGTTGTCTTTTATTAATTGTTGTAACTGGACTAGTTGCAAATGTGTCAATTAGCACAAGCCTCTGATATCAACTACTACTTGTAATTATACTTAAGTGTAATAGTGTGTTGACTAATATACAGATTGATGTCAGCGTTAGATACAGGAGGTGCCATGTTAGTTAGCTTCATCTCGCCTCGACGTCCAGTTGGCCCCGAGAATTAAGAGGCACAGGGCTGGCATGGAGTCGCTATGGCGATGGCGTGGTTGAGAGGGGGCGGGTGGCATGTGTGAAGCGGGAAAGGTTAATCCCCTTTAGAACCGGTAGGCTGGTCTAGAAGGTCTGAAGCAAGCCCCTGTGATCCTCAACCAGCTTCTTCATTTTTCAAATTTTACATTTTAGTCATTTAGCAGACGCTCTTATCCAGAGCGACTTACAGTTAGTGAGTGCATAAATTTTTTAAATATATATTTTTCATACTGGTCCCCCTTGGGAAACGAACCCACAACTCTAGCGTTGCAAATGCCATGCTCTACCAACTGAGCTACACGGGACTACAGGGAATACTAAGTACCTACTGGGGAATGCTTAGTCACGCCTCGCTCAGATGGCCTGTTCTGTTCCCCTCACCCCAGTCCCTGTTCGTTCCCTGTTCCCTTACTCCCACTCTCCTCACCTAACCACGATTACTCTGGTTCCCCTAGCCCCTGTCTCTGACTCTCCCCTAGCCCCTGTCTCTGACTCTCCCCTAGCCCCTGTCTCTGACTCTCCCCTAGCCCCTGTCTCTGACTCTCCCCTAGCCCCTGTCTCTGACTCTGCCATAGCCCCTGTCTGACTCTCCCCAAGCCTCTGTCTCTGACTCTCCCCTAGCCCCTGTCTCTGACTCTCCCCTAGCCCCTGTCTCTGACTCTCCACTAGCCCATGTCTCTGACTCTCCCCTAGCCCCTGTCTCTGACTCTCCCCTAGCCCCTGCCTCTGACTCTCCCCTAGCCCCTGTCTCTGACTCTCCCCTAGCCCTTGTCTGTCTGACTCTCCCCAAGCCCCTGTCTCTGACTCTCCCCTAGCCCCTGTCTCTGACTCTCCCCTAGCCCCTGTCTCTGACTCTCCCCTAGCCCCTGTCTCTGACTCTCCCCTAGCCCCTGTCTCTGACTCTCCCGTAGCCCCTGTCTCTGACTCTTCCGTAGCCCCTATCTCTGACTCTCCCCTAGCCCCTGTCTCTGACTCTCCCCTAGCCCCTGTCTCTGACTCTCCCGTAGCCCCTGTCTCTGACTCTTCCGTAGCCCCTATCTCTGACTCTCCCCTAGCCCCTGTCACTGACTCTCCCATAGCCCCTGTCTCTGACTCTCCCGTAGCCCTGTCTCTGACTCTCCCCTAGCCCCTGTCTCTGACTCTCCCCAAGCCCCTGTCTCTGACTCTCCCCAAGCCCCTGTCTCTGACTCTCCCCTAGCCCCTGTCTCTGACTCTCCCCTAGCTCCTGTCTCTGACTCTCCCCCAGCCCCTTTCTCTGACTCTCCCCTAGCCCCTGTCTCTGACTCTCCCCTAGCTTCTGTCTGACTCTGAACCAGGCCCCACCAGAAGGTAGTAGTGAGAAACGGTGAGCCTGCAGACTTACATAATAATATGTAATATGTACTGTTACTACAGTACCACACCTCTGTCTCCAATCTCTTACAGAATATCTTATGTCAAGTGTTATTGAAGTGTTGTGGTTGCAGGTTCACCTGGTACAGCTAAAGGCTTTTCTTATGGGGTGTTGCTATAGGCCACCAAGTGCTAACAGTCAGTATCTAGATAATATGTGTGAAATGCTTGATAGTGTATGTGATGTAAACAGAGAGGTCTACTTTCTTGGGGACCTGAATATTGACTGGTTTTCATCAAGCTGTCCGCTCAAGAGGAAGCTTCTCACTATAACCAGTGCCTGTAATCTGGTTCAGGTTATTAATCAACCTACCATGGTGTTTACAAACACTACAGGCACAAGATCATCCACATGTATTGATCACATTTTTACTAATTCTGTAGAACTTTGTTCTAAAGTTGTATCTGTACCCATTGGATGCAGTGATCATAATATAGTGGCTATATCCAGGAGAGCCAACGTTCCAAAAGCTGGGCCTAAAACAGTGTATAAGATTTTGCTGTGACTTTTATGTGGATGATGTAAAGATATTTGTTGGTCTGATGTGATTAATAAGGTGCATCCAGACGCTGCACTTGATGAATTTATGAAATTACTTCTTCCAATTATTGATTAACATGCACCTGTTAAGAAACTGACTGTTAGAACTGTTAAGGCTCCATGGATTGATGAGGAATTAAAAAAACTGTATGGTTGAAAGAGATAGGGCAAAAGGAGTGGCTAATACGTCTGGCTGCACATCTGACTGACTGACTTACTGCAAATGGAGAAATTATGTGACTAAACTCAACAGAAATAAGGAGAAACTGTATTATGAAGCCAAGATCAATTATATAAAGAATGATGGAAAAAATACTTTGGAGTACTTTAAATGAAATTATGGGCACAAAGACAAATTCAACGAATCAGACGGCTTATTCGTCACAAAACCATTTGATGTTGGCAATTATTTTAATGATGACTTAATTGGCAAAGTGGGCAAACTAAGGCAGGAAATGCCAACAACGAACAGGAAAGTCTTTGTCCTCAGGCCTGGAGGGAAGCCAAAGCTACCCAAGAGTGGTAAAGCGGCCTTTACTGGTTCTAACAGCAGACCTATCAGCTTGCTGCCAGCTCTTAGCAAACTGTTGGAAAAAATTGTGTTTGACCAAATACAATGCTATTTCACTGTAAACAAATGCTTATGGAGAAGGGCACTCAACATGTACTGCACTGACACAAATGACTGATCATTGGTTGAAAGAAATTGATCATAAGAAGACTGTGGGAGCTGTACTGTTAGATTTCAGTGCAGCCTTTGATATTATTGACCATAACCTGTTGTTGAGAAAACATATGTGTTATGGCTTTTCAACCTCTGCCATATCGTGGATTCAGAGCTATCTACTGTATCTAATAGAACCCAGAGGGTTTTCTTTAATGGAAGCTTCTCTAATGTCAAATGTAAAGTGTGGTGTACCGCAGGGCAGCTCTCTAGGCCCTTTACTCTTTTCTATTTTTACCAACGACCTGCCACTGGCATTAAACAAAGCATGTGTGTCCATGTATGCTGATGATTCAACTATATACACAACCACATCTAATGAACTCACTGAAACCCTTAACAAAGAGTTGCAGTCTGTTTTGGAATGGGTGGCCAGAAATAAACTGGTTCTAGATTTTTGTTAGGAAAGTCTAACTGTGTCACTTCTTGATTTTTATAAGAAACATTAATGTATTGGAAATTCCAAATTGTTTGCATAGTCAACTTACACACAGCACTGACACACACACTTACCCCACCAGACATGCCACCAGGGGTCTTTTCACAGTCCCCAGGTCCAGAACAAAATCAAGGAAACGTACAGTATTATACAGAGCCATGAGTGCATGGAACTCCCATCTTATATAGTGCAAGTGAACAGCAAACCTGGTTTCAAAAAACAAATAAAGCAACATCTCACAGCACAACACCTCTCCCCATGTGACCTACTTGTTGTGTGTATGTACTGACATGTATGTGTAACTGATAGATGCACACACACACACACACACTACATATTCATGTTTTTAAATGTATGTAAATTGTAAAGTATTCTGTCTGTAATGTCTTTTTCGTTATGTGTCGGACCCCTGTAAGACTAGTTGTCGCCATTGGCGTCGGCTAATGGGGATCCTAATACATCAAAAATCTCCATTATATATTTTTTATGAAGTTTATCCATTTAATCTCAACCCAGTAAATGTCCTCCGAAATGGCAGTTGAATGAAGAGTAGAGGAAACACTGTTGAGCACATTAAAGCATGTGTCTTTGGAGATGTTGACGATATTAAAGGTCCCCTTTTACCAGACAGGAACAGTGATCATTACAGACAGACATCCTTCATAGCATCTTTACCCTCCGCAGGGACACATGCCATTAGCAAATCGTACCTTTAATGGCAGAGAAACAATCGATCTCTCCCTCTGTGCCAACTGTGGCTGGCTCTGCTTGGCCCTGCTCCAGACTAAACCTAAAAAAACGAATCTCTCTCTCAACTCTGCTCTACTAGCAAGAGAGATCGAGGAGGCCTCATGATCGCTCTCTCTCTCTCTCTCTCTCTCTCTATGCTTCTCTCTCTCTCTCTCTCTCTCTCTCTATCTCTCTCTCCTCTCTCCTCTCTTCCCCTCTCTCTCTCTCTCTCTCTCTTCACTCAACACATCCACTGATCCACATGCCCCTGCCTGTCACAGCTAAATGTGGCAGCATTGGGAGAACATTAATGAAAGCTCTTATTAAGAGAGACATACCCTGTCTCAACAGACTACAGGAATGCAATGTGGCTTGGAGTGTGTCTCAAAGTGAACACTTTGAAACACTGCATTGTACCGAGGAGTTAGACCCAGTTAGAGTCCCTTTTTAAGTTCTTGGTTATACAGAGTCCTTTGTCTCCATATCCTTTGATTCTTATTGGGGGTTCACAGAAACTGCTGTCCAGGGTCTCTTGGACCAGTTCTTTAATGAGGACTCAGACAGCCATGAAACCATAGGAAGTGCATCTATGGCTGCTTCCTCCTTTCCCCTCTCCCCTGCCTGCTGGAGCATGTCCACTGGGCTAGCCTCTTGATACAGACAGTAGTAGCTTAACACCCTTCATTCCAGAGGACCTTAATGATCTCTACTGGTTTCCTCACAGTGCAACAGAGATCTAGACCTAAAGTACTTTAGCCTTATAAGGCTCAGATATTTGTGAGGGAGAGCCTGGACTGGGAGCTGGTCAGTGGAAAGATAATGGTCTTATTGGGGCTGTGGAGTCTGGGAGAGATTCTGCTGGTTTATCATGAAAGTCTCTGAAGTACTCTTACCTTAGGAGTTCCTGGAGCCAAACTGCCGTCCTTGTGTCCGTGTGATGGGTTTTTACTGTAGGAGAGAGGGAAGAGACCAATTAAAAGAAGTTATTGGATCTGTATTTTTACAATATGGGTGGGTTTGGGTGTTTCCATTGAAATGGGAGTTGCACAACATAGATATGTTTTTTTTATTGAGGTTGTCTTTCTAGGAAGCCCTCTCCTTTTGCCTGTGTGTGTATTTCTGTGTCACCCCTAATATAAGTGATATTCTACTCTCTGTCCTCTCAGGTGACACCTCTGTCCTCTGTCTCTGTGCAGATGACATCCCTCTTTTAACACTCAACTCTGTTTAAAGTCACGCAGACAAAAAGACAGCACTGTTTCTCCCCTTACTCACTCAGACAAAATGCAATACCCAGGGGACAGCTCAAACGGTTACTCAGTCACCGAGAAACACAAATCACACTTTTAATCGTCTGCAAGATTCCAACACGACCACCCTCCATTTCCTCCCCCTCCTCCCAGCTCCCTCTGTGCCACTCAATCTGCCCACCCTTGGGCCATGCTGTGTTTGAAACAATTACAGCTCAAAGTATGACTGCTAAGCAGATTTGGGATATAATTATTTTATTGAAGTAATCATTCTCTTTGATGTTCCTATCCACCCCTCTCCACCTATCCTCCTCTCTAACTGCCGTCGCTGAGCCAGTGGCAGGAGCAGGAAATAAATGATTTTGCTGTTATTTGATTTGTCAGTGAAACGCCCTGTGCACTTAGGACTTTGAAATATGTTGAGGACAATGCGCTCGCTTGTAAACATTGTATTAAAGAGGCGGAGGAGAGGAGAGAGGGATGGATATAAGAGAGAGA